GCCCCCGGGCCTTAGGTTGCCTACCCCTGTTTTAGGCCTTTTCTACACTTTTGTATGATCCTGCAGTACACAGAAGACTTGCATGCCATGAAGGCTTATTAGGGACGAAACAGGATATCTTGTGTCTTGATAACCTCATGTGGCTTTAAGATTTGATTTATTTCTTCTAATCTTGGAAAATATTTTCTTCTCACTTCAGGAAGTACCAGAGTTTGAAGACCCAATGAAGCCAGAGGAGGTATGTTTGGAAGCCAGAGTAAGGGGTGGGATGAAATTGGTTGGTTACTTGATTTAAGATGAGTAGATTATATGATACAATCATGGGAATATTTTGGAAACCTGTTACAAAATTGTTGGGAATTTTGTGCCAGTTTTACTCCTCCTCCTCCTTTTTAAATCATTTTTATTCAACAGACAGATAACATACATGCACATAGCAATATTTCATTACTTCATCAAAGAGATAATAAGAAAAAAAGAAAAAAGAAATTACATTGATCATTCACTTATATCTTATAGCAGTGGGTTTTTTTTCTTATATTAAACCTTGAACATATTTTAATAAAGTTCTATATAACTAATTTTCTTCCTCCTTGTTCTTGTTCATTATTTCAATATAAACTATAGATTCTTCATTATCACCTGGTCTTATTACCAAGGTGGTCCTTGTATATTCTACCTAGGTCTACCCATTTTTTATCAGAAGAGAAGTATTACTAACCGCTCCTATTGTTAATATAAATCAGTCAATGCTATCCTGGTTTCTCCATTTCAAATCATTAAGTTATTATAACCCTTAAATCAATTAATACATTATTTTTACACTATTACCAAATAAATACGCCTTCTGTGTCAAGTGTAATTATGATACTATTTAAAAGTATCTTTTCATTTTCCTGAAGATAAGAGGTCTGAGCATGGAGGTATCAAGGAAGAAACAGTGGAATTGTGATGCTTCCACCAAAAGAATGAGACTACCTGTGAGGGCACTAGAACATGAGTGCTTTGAGGGTCTATGAACCCCTGTGCATGGTGCAAGGAGGGTAGGGCAGGCTTGAGCCATAGAATAAAGTGGCACACCAATACCATAGGAAAGGTGGGTATGTAAATTGTGTATGTGTGAATCCTATTTTTCCTGTGTCAGATAGAAGCTTGGGAGAAGGAGGAGCTAGAGAAAGAAGTGTGCTTTGACAGCTGCCGAATAGACCCCTCTCCCTTTCAGCTGGTGGAGAGGACCTCCCTGCACAAGGTACGAGTTCATGTGTGCCTCCTCTCTTTGTCTTTTTCCATGTGCCTCTGACAGCCACACCCCTCCACTTACTTATTCATCTTCACTTTTCCCTTTTATGTTCTCTTTATGTCTCTTGGTCAAGAGTGATCTCAGTACTGGGTGACCAGATGTCCTCCTTTTCAAAAGCATGCCCTACATTTCAATCTTCTGTCTAGGAAGAATGCCAAAAGTCCATTTTGAGCCCATTGAGTAACAGCATGTTTGCTAAGGGATCTTGTAGCACCTTAGCAAGGAAGAAATTGGTAGCATGGGCTTTCGTAGGCTTCAGCCTACTTCTTCAGATGCGTGCTTTTACTTCTTCAGATGCATGTTTTATCTGAAAAATTAGGCCGAAGTCTATGGAAGCTCATACTACTTACGGTACTTCTTTCATTCAGTTAAACCCAAAGGTACTGTAAGATCTCTTTGCATACTGATTTTCTAGACTAAGGAGTTTATCACACGGGGGAAATCCTGTGCAGAAACAGGATTTAAAAGGTGGGGGAAACCCGCAAAAGCGGTTAGTTTTTCACACACATCGCTGTTAAAATGGGGTTAACTCGAACAAAAAGTAGTCAGAAACTACTTCTTTTTTACTTTTGGGATTTTCCAAAAGTAAAAAGAAGCAGTTTCTGACTACTTTCCATTCGGGTTAACCCCATTTTAACATTGACGTCGTCTGAAAAGCTAACCGCTTTTGCAGTTTTTTTCTAATTTAAAGCCCCGTTTCCGCACAGGATTTCCCCCGTGTGATAAATTCCTCACACAGCTATATCTTTGAATTCTACCAGGATGTTTGCTGTCCCCCTTCAAGAAAAGTGTCTACTTGGCAGCCAGTTGTTGCTGCAAATAGTGGGATAGGATAGATCAGGGGTAGGCAAACTTTTCCCTTTAAGGGCCGAGGGACTTCAGCTCCCAGAATCCCAGGAGCTATTGGCCAACATGGGACTATTGGTCAACATGGCTGAGGCTTCTGGGAGCTGAAGTCCCTCGGCCCTTAAAGGGGAAAGGTTGCCTACCCCTGGGATAGATCCTTCTAAAGTTCTTTTCCCCCTAAAAGAAACCAGCATGGGGAAGCTGAAAGGTGTGACAATATTTGCCCCCAGAACATGGAGTACATTTGTTTCTCAGAGAGGAAAAGGAACAATTGACTTCTTGAGAAAACAATGCATGTGTTTTCTTTAATTTCAGCACAATGAACAATTGAAAGAAATAATCAGATTCAGTCAATCTTTTGTTGCTGGTAAAGTACAATTTTAAGCATTTGTCTTGCTCAGAGTTCTATAAGTGTATTGCAAGCCAACAAGGCATTTTAACAAAGATAAGTTCATCAGAAAAATACAGTTGAGTATATAATAAAATATGTAATTTAGCTATTAATAAACCATATTAAATGAATTTATATTTATATTAGTGTTTTTAGCTTTTATTTGGTCATGTCCTATATTTTTCTTGAATGTCCTAAATTTTGCAGTGCCTTATCTTCCTTTGTGGTTATGACATTGGCCACCCTGTCTCCTTACTCATAAACATTAATTGAGAATGGGCCTAACCTTCGCTTCTTTTCACAGGAGCGAGATATTGTCCTTCTTTTCCTAGGTACTATGATTTTCACCCACAAGATTTCCCCATATACTCTAGTGCTCCTGGCTGATTGCTGAGTCAATTCTGCTTTTTCACTCCCCTTGAGTAGGAATATACATTTCTGTTTATTTTGGTCTTTCATGTAAAAATTGACAATTTCAAAGTTTTTTTTTCCTCCCACTGGTTGAGATTATGAGAATTGTAATGCATTTTTCATGTTTTGGACTTTATTTGCAAATATTTTGCAAAGGGTTTTGTGCAAAAAAATTAGTTTGTTGCACAAAAAACAATGTTCCCCAAATACTTTGTTTTTCACAATGCTATTGCTGATAATGATAGGAAGAGGAGAATGAGATTTTCAATGGCTATAGATAGTGTTTGTGGTGCATTGTTACTTAGGGCCAGAAGAAACTGAAAATAGATTGACGTCATGGCAACCACATGCCACAGCCCCAATCTGACTTGAACCCAGCCCAAAAAGGAGCAGGAAAGATCTGCTCCTTTCTGGGCCTTGAAAGAGATGCCTTTCCTGGCCCTGCCGCAGCCTGAAGCCGGCTTCAAGATACTCTGGCGGTGTGTGGCATGTAAACACCATGCTGCCAAAGCATCTTGAAGCTGCCCATGTCTGGGTGGCTGCCCGACTTCAGGGCAGCTTGGGAGTGTGCAGCATATAAACACTGCACTCCCAAGCCACCTGTACTGCAGCTTTAAAGAGCCATCTGTTCCAGCCCTTAGTGTCAGTTAACTGCTACACATTGGGGGGAAGCAGACGACTGCTTCCGGGACGCCGCCGGATGGAGCGCTGGCGGAGCGGAGCCTCCGCACCACGGCGCTCCTGCGGCGTCCCTAAAAGGAGCTCCAAATTGGCGCTCCTTTTAGATGTCAGGGAAAGTGCACCCTAAAAGCGGCGGGCGCACTTTCCCTGACTCTTCCACCGCAGCGCATGCAGTCGCTGCGGCGTGAGGTCATCCCCAGAGCACTGGCCATGCGGAGGGCCGGCGACTCCGAGGGCGACCTCAGGAAGAGGAAGGAGCGCCGCGCGTGCGGCTGCTCCTCCTCTTCCTTGCCTCGATTTTGACTAGGTGAGATCCCAGCCTCAAACTATAATATGCCAAAGCATGGTTGGGTTTCTTCTGGGTTTCTACTCTTGGCTTGGGTACAATAAAATCCACCACTGATTTGATTCAGATTCTCCATGAATTTGCAAAGAGCACCTTTCTCTTTTCTGTCACTGATGGATATGTTTTTATTCTCCTTCAGACACATACCTTGTTCTCGTTGCTGGGACTCAGCCATGCCTATGTAACCAGCATGGGGAAGCTGAGAGGTGTGATTGCACTGGAAGAGGTAAAGGAAGGCTGGTACCTTTATATTTTTCTGATCAGATGCAAATATTCAGTGCTTTATTCAAACAAGCATTTTAGCCAGTTAAAAGTTGCCTACAGGACGAAGATAAGATTTTCACCCAGTATAGTTCAAGATGGATAGTAGTTTAGCTTAAGAAAGAGGTATACTAGAGGCATACTTTGTGGAAACAAATTTCTTTCATCCCAGTGTTGTGTATGGACCAATATGTTTTGCAAGATTTTGAAACAATGCAAAAACTTGTTTATCAAAGCAGAAAGCAAGGAGTGTTTCATTCAGAAGCAGTAATTCCTCTTTCAGCCTGTTAATCCTGCTTCATCTATTATAAAGCCTGGATGGATTGAGTCTCTCTCCTATGAGAGAGAAATTAGGGGAAGGAATGTTGGCAGACCTGTGCTTCTATCCCCAATTTGATTCTCATTGCTTACTCATTCTTTGCAGCCTACCCTTAGCTTAGTGAGGAAATTTTTATTGATAATTTTCAGTTGGAAGTTGAAAGGCCCTGCACAAGACTGTTGTTCGCAGGGTTCCCTGCTATAAAAGGGTGAAATCATTTGTTCCTGTGAGTCTCTTGTGTGCCTTGAGGTAATTTGCTACTTGTGGAAATCTTTATCATGTGGTTTTTATGGCAGGATTTTTTCAGAGGGGTTTTTTCCCTGCCTTCCTATGGGGCTGAGAGAGTGTGACTTGCCCAAGGCCACCCAGTGAGTTTCCATAGCCAAACAGGGATTTAAACCCTGGTCTCCAAAGTTGTAGTTCAGCGTTCAAACCATTACACCATGCTGGCTCTACACTATGAGTCTACATTTATATGTTGTTGTTGTGTGCCTTCAAGTCATTTCCAACTTATGGCATGGGGTTTTCTTAGCAAGTTTCTTCAAAGAGGGTTTGCCATTGCCATCCTCTGAGGATGAGTGTGTGTGAGTTGCCCAAGGTCACCCAGTGTGTATATATGGCTGAGCCAGAATTTGAACCCTGGTCTCCAGAATCCTAGTCCAATTCTCAAACCACTACAACACGATGGCTCTTACACTCACATATATCCTAGGAATATTTCCACAAATGCCACCAAGATCCTGAAATTTAGATATTTTCCACCTCCAAAAAGATGTCCTTTAAATATCTAAGTGCACAGTAAATGTCATGGTGAGATCTTTCATGTGCACACCTGATCATCTTCCCTGTTAATTTCTTGTCTCTAAAACTCAGCTCCAAAAAGCGATTGAGGGTTCCACACGCTCTGGCGTACAGCTTCGTCCTCCTCTTGCCAGTTTTCGTGACATGTCAACCAACAAGGAGCAGGCCAAGTGGGACACGCAGATGTGGAGCAAACAGAACAGCAGTGCAGCACCTGGAGGCATTGTGCTGGATTCAAGAACAGACACTTCAGGGGTCCCCAGCTCTCCTGTCCCACAACCTTCTCCCAATCCCAGTGAAGGGAAAGAGATACGCTCCACTTCTGTTGCTGACATGGAACTGGAAGAAATGGAGCTTTCTGGACCCGGTTCTGAAAACATCTCAGACATCCTCAAGGACCTCAACCTACACTCCATAGATGTGGATGAGGACGATGACGATGATGATGTGCCACTCTAATTGTAAAGAAAAGGGGTTCATCTTGCCCCTTTCCCAAGGTACTCCTGCCATACCTGTGCTTCAAGAAGAGGATGTGGCTTACCTCCCTTTGGCACCAGTAGATGGAAATCCATGCTGGAGAGCCTTGGCTGATTGGCTTTTCTTTCTGCCACCATCAATTGGTGGGCTATAGGGGAAAGAAATGGGCCAGAGGAACTTGGATTTATATCCCCTGGTCTTGCCTCCATTGATAATTGTGGTAAACCTGGGCAGGGCATTCCCTGGGACTCCATCCACTTTGTTCATGGCAAACAGTGCAGCAGTTTTCCTTCTGGTGAAACTTCCTTCTTGCTCCATCTCCCTTCTTCATCTCCATCAACATGACCAGCATCATTTTTCTCACCATGTTCGATGAAACACTAATCTGCAGAGGAGACAGATGAAGGATTTATCGCAGGCTCAGCCCAACTGTAGAGAGAATTCAGTCCAATTTGTAAACAGAATGAAATGAAAAAATGGTGACATCTTCTATAAATAGGGGTTGCTGGTTGTATGTATGTTTGTTTTCATTTTTATAGTGCCCTTTCCTGCAGCGTAATCACTTATCCATGCTCCAAGTGTGAAATTGTCTCCTCCATGTCTTTCGTATCATTCACAAAACCCCAACATCTTGTAATAGTTGTTGTGTGCCTTTGTTTTTGATTTATGGTGACCCTAAGGTGAACCTATCATGGAGTATTCTTGGTAAGTTTCTTCAGAGGGGGTTTGGCATTGCCAACCTATAAGGCTGAGTGTGTTTGATCAATCAATGGGATTCCATGGCCGAACTGGAATTCAACCCCTGGTCACCTAGTGTCCTGGGTAATAATAATAGCAGCCCTAAGCCATACGTTCTTTCATCCATCTGCTGGACCCATTGTTATCCCACATTGCCACCTAGAAATCTCCCTTGTTCGGAAACCTTTCAATAATGTATTTTTTCAGAGTAACAAAATTAAGAAACCAACTCAGTTGCTCAAACTGCATCACCTGATCTGTATATTTCTTTGAACTCTTAGATATAAAAACTGAACCAAAGGAAGATTCAGTGCCCTGACCCGGTGTCGGGATTACACAGTAACTAGAGCTGCATGTGTAGGTCTAAAAACATTTTAAAATGTTAAAATTTGTTGTTTGACTATTTGGCAGGAAGGGTGAGAGGGACTGAGGGGAGCAGAAATAATTCCCACTCCAAAAACCAAAACAAATCAAAAGGCTTCTGCGTGTGAAGTCAAGAGAGAGTCACATTGCAAGATGTGCTGTGCAATGGACCAAAACAGTATGGTTTATTGCTGAGCAAAAGAGCAAGAGCAGAACTGATCATTGAGGATGCAGGTGTTTGAATAAGTCTGTAAATATCTTGCCTGGGTCTTAAATGTTCATGTTTAATTGTTTTTTTATACAGTAGAGATTTTTTCCAAAGCTGTTAGGTTTCAAACATAAGAATTTCTGGGATGAAATGGGTGTGGTGAGAGGCAGCATTAGGGAAACAAAGAGGAGCTTCTTCTCAGGATACATCTGTGTTAGAACTGTATATTGGCTTCATATCAGTTTGGTTTCCCTGAAAGGAAACCATGGTTTGTTGAGGTTGCTGAACATTGTTTTTGAAGTCATATCATCCTCTTATAAAGCTTCACTTCTGAAGCCGGTTCATGTATGCACTGCAGATATGGCCTATAGAGTATCCAAAAACATGGGAAAATCCCTGCCCTTTTATCTAGCCTTTATCCCTGAAACTTGGTATCTATACGGCCAAAGTTGTGCATTCTGTGTAGCTCCCTTGCTGCTCAGACCCTCATGTTTCCAATTACACTCAGTGCAGACATCTTAGCTATTCATGCACTTGCTCCTGAGAAAAAATTGGGCAAAGAGCTGATGGGGTAGGTCTGATATATAGAGCTTTCTGGGAGCTGGGGTGGCTCAAGAAGCAAAGAGCCTTACCTTAGCTTTCCCTATGTAAAATTAAGAACAATGCAGCAAAAATTCTCCAGCTATTCTTGGCTGTTACACAGTAACTACTGAAATCAGAAATCACCAGACCAAAAGCAGGGTCATATATTTGGAGGAAACATTGGTAGGGGGACTAAGAGCAGGCACAGGTATGGAGGTCTGTCTGCAGGTTAGGATGGAAGTAAGGTTGACATCTTGAGCTTAGTGTGACCATCAGAAATTCAACAAGTCATATTCCATCGCTGCCTTCTTATAACTTCATCTATGGAATTTTTGTTTCTTGCACCCTTGTTGGGACACCAAGGAGATACCACTAACTGTGCTAAGTCTGGTGCTTTAGTTTACCAGGAGATAGGCAGAAAGTACAACTCCCATAGACACAATAGTTCAAAGGGGGACAGGGTTTTTGCTTTGCACCGCTGTCCTCACATCCACCTGCTATTCATCTCTATTATGTGAGTATTGCCTCTCTTCCTGAGTGGCTTCTGGCAACTGGATGCACTCAGTCACCATGCAGAGTGTCAGGCAACCCTCACATGGCCATGCTGTTGTGTGCCTTCAAGTCTTCATTGCCTTACTCAAGAGACAATGACGGTAGATCAATTGCATCTTTTGAAAAGTACATTTTAGAGTAGTTAGAAGGTGCATGGCTGGAGAAAGAATTCTGACATTACTGTTTATGGATTGTTCCCCCTCTCCGAGATATCAATCACCTGAATATTTCAAATGTATGGTTCTAGGCTGGTATGAGGATTAGGTATTTCTGCATCCTGGGCAGATTCTTGACATCTGTATTATCTTTCTGTTTTTGAGCCAAAATGGCCAGGTCTCAGGTTATTAGTTCTGTCTCTCATGTACACTCTAGCCCTCTGAAAATCTTTGTAGTTTTATATATAGAGGTGTTCCTGCACCCTACTATACCTGTGCCCAGGGAATACCAGCTCAGCCAAATGAAAATAGCCAAATGAAAAGACTATGCACGAATAGCCAAATGAAGAAAAGAAAAAAACTATGCAAATAAAAACACTAGATGCCACTTAGGACCTCTTGATATATGAACAAAATGAAGATATTGTTGTTATTGTTGTTGCTGCTACTGCTACAGGGAAGAGGATTCAGTCATATAACTGTTTTGGGGGGTGGGGGGTTGGTAGTCTGAAGTGGTATAGCATAGATAAAGATTTATTACGATGGTTAGGACAGAGAATTAGGCTGGCATCGCTAAGTTTTGTGGAAATTCTTAAGGGCTTATCTAGGCCTAGATCCATTAGGTTTTGGAGCCCACATGACATCTCTTTTCCTTATATTTGTTATTGTGTGCCTTCAAGTCATTTCTGACTAATGGCAAGCCTAGGGCAAACCTATAATAAGGTTTTATTGGCAAGATTGGTTCAGAGGCAGTTTTGCCTTCAGATGTTGAGAGAATGTGATTTTTCCAAGGTCACCCAGTCAGAGGGTTTCCAAGGCTGAGCCAGAATTCAAATTCTGGTCTCTAGAGTTGTAGTCCAACACTCAAACTACTACACCATGCTGGCTCTCTATATTTAGAAAACATGAACTATTTTGGCTTCATTCAGCTACTCTGGTGCACAGTGTCCTAAAAATAGTCGCATATCATGACCTACTGCCATAGGATGCATTTATGGATGCCAATTTAGATGGCTTTGAAGGGGAACTAGATAAATTCATGACTATCATTGGCTGTGAGTCAGGATGGCTATGTGTCACATCCATATCAAGGACAATGGGCTACTGTATATCAGTTGCTGTGGACTGAGAGGGAGGGTGCCATTGCACTCATGTCCTGCTAGTGGTGGTCTCAAGCAACTGACTGGCCACTGTATGTTGGCCAGTTAGACAGGTCCCGCTGTAACATTAAACAAATATTTCTAAGATGTACATCAATGGCACACTAATATAAGAAAATATAACATGTTGAGAAACTTGTTCAGTTAATACAGTGGCTTTACTCACTTGCACTTTTTATATTCATTTATGGCTAATTCCCTTTGAGGTGACAAAGCCCATTCATAGTAAATCATCTGACTGAATGTACCTCTGTCTATAAAATGACCAACAAAGGCTGTACATCAGCTGATTTTTCATGTGGAAGGAGGAAATTGTTTGGCATGCAGGGCAATTGTTATGCAAGCCCCTGCCTGATGTCTGAATTAGTACAGCTCAGATACCAATTTACACAGGATTGGTTTTTAAAACGTTTAAT